ACGCTGGTACTTGCAGCTCCTCAGAGCATTTTTCATTACCAAAAGAAAAAAAAAAAAAAAAAAAAGACAGTAATCCACAGAGAGAAAGCCAAGATATTTCTTTTTCTCCTGCACAGCATCGATCTAAGCAGCTGGCATTTCAAAAGGTTATTCTGCTTCGGAACAGTCCAAGCAACCGCGTTGACGGTGGCTTGAAAATGGTCTGGAAGAAGGATTGTCTCCCAGATTTCTAATTTACATCCTCAGCTCTTTCACTTTTCTGTTCTGTACTTGCTTTCACCCTCATCCTATTGCAGGAAACCTCGACCATCACCCCAGTGCAGATGACAGCAGGAATCCCTCTGGCACATTAATGCCACTTCAGGCACGGGGTGGGGATGAGGAAGAAGCAGCAGCACACCTTGGCCACCAACAATGCCACGAAAACGTACAATAATTACCATCAAATGGCCATACATTTACATTAAAACCTTCAAAGCCTGTCTCTGGGGGTAAGAAAATTTTAGGAAAGCAAAATAAGATGTGGTAGGCCAGCTCTTGCTTCATAAATACCTTCCTTGGTCCAACTGCCAGAAGGTGTCATTGTTATCTCTGAGAATAATTAGTACATAAGACAGCTTGTTTCATCACCTCATGTGCCAAAGGCAAGACCTCTGTGGATACAGACACTTCTGCCAAGCTGCACTGCCAGGTTTTTGTGTGTTGGCTTTTTTTTTTTAAGGGTGTAAAAAGGCAGAGGCAGGTCATGATTATTGCCGGGTAATAAGCAACACGTAAAAATATAAATTCTGCAGCAATTTCAGCTTGGGCTTGTTCCATACACTGAGCCATGAACACAACCTGTTTCACCTCAGAAATTACAGCGGAAAGGCAAAAAAAGTGAAACTTATTCTGTACCTGCTGACAAACAACAGCAAGTGCAAAGGGACACCAAGTTTATCCATGCACTGGATACCAAATGGATCCCTCCATTGGCCCAATTACCACAGTGCTGGGGAATAAGCAGCTCAGATCACAGAGATTCAATTATTAAGTGCTTGACAAACAAACAGCAGGTTTCAGCATCCCTCAGAAGGAGAGATTCATTTCGACTTTAGGAACAGCAAAACCCCTGAGATTACTGGCAAGGCTGATCAGCAGGGACAGAGCCTCTCCAATCCCTCAGCTCTCGCCATCAGGATGACAGTAACACAACATAATATTCACTGAAATACCCTCTCCAGAAAACAAAACACACTCAGGCACCAACCATCTACCAGGCAGAACAAAAATAAAACCTCAGCTTCGAGTAAGAGCAATATTGTACATATAAATATATATAAAACCTAATTAGCGGCACCCTTCTCATATATAAATGTCACATCAAGTATTTAAAAGTTAACAACCCTGCAAGACTCTTGTTCTCAATACCTCCGTTTTTTTACTGTCTGCAGCCCTGTTATTCCCAACTGCCCCGCAGCCATAAAGCATATTTTACATTTAATACTGGTTAGTCAGCTCGGGGAAATCATTTGTGAACACAAAAGGAAAGCAGCTTGGTTTTGACGTCCTGCTGCGAGTCTGCTGGACACGAGGTTATAAAAAGCATCTTTATTTGGAAGCTGAGCAGATCTGATCTGAAAGTCGGGCACAAATGCAGGACTTCACTCAGCCCTTTTCAGGGTACAGAACTGATGCAGCCTAAAAGTTTAATAAAAGGAACAAGTAACACTGCTGGAAGTGGGAAAGATGATGAACGAATGCCTCACGCTCCGGGGACAGG